ATGCAACTGTTTCAGAGAGTTTTTGAAGTTTCCCTCCCGATTCCCAGCACACAAATCGGCAAGTATCAGTCACTACAAGAGTGAGGAGATTTTGCGGCTCATCCCTCAGGTCCTACACCAACCACCGCTCTCGAAGCACTGAAAACATTTTCCAGATGTGCAGATAGAATGTGACGCCTACATGGGAAAATAGCTTCTAGTCCTACCAACACGGGTTTGGCACTGTCAGTTGATGCACTATAGCTCAGCTTTTGCTTGATTCCTTCTGAAAACCTCCCGGACATATTTTTAGCGAATGTCCACCTTTGTCTAACACCAATACCAGCCAAATATTGTTGCCAAAATTACCGGTTGAGCTACAAGCCAGTAAGAAAACCCTCAGGAAAGAACAGTCATTACAAAAACTGGAGAGAATGCACTGCGCAATGAGGTTACCTCAGAATCAAGCAACCTGGTTTAACCCATTGCGTACCGCAGTGTTTTGCGTTAGCTGCCGAATGTGCCCGGCGTTTCCTTCAAAATCGAGCGGGCGACGTGACTCACGACGTACAGCACGTAGCCACACAGAGCGGTTGTTTGAGCGATTCGCAAAGTATGGACTGTTCAAACTTTAACAAAAGTCTAGAGTGGTTTTGGACGAAAATGCGGGCGCGCAGAGGCGGAGGGGCGTGCTTCACCATGTGCAGCACGCGGTACGCAAAGGGTTAAATATTCACAATTTCGACCCGAACTAGGCAGTAATACGCGTGACAGAACTTTTTAAAAAGCGCTTTAGTGTTTCGGCAAAAATCCATGATTTCCATTTCTCAGCCATGCTCCGATCTCTTTTTCTTCTCCATATGATATGCAAGCTAGCAGATAAAAACTGTCTCTAACAATTCCGTCAGAATCAATGTCATAGCGGAAAGGAACTAACGAAATTGCCACTGCGGTGTAATGCTGCCTTCCATAGAAAATAACACTCACCAGTGTTGCCTCGTCGTTGTTTTTGTCGATGGCAAGCGCCATTTCACACATTTGTTTGCATTCCGCCAAACGGCTGATGTTCATGTAACAGCTTGCCAATGCCAAGATGGTCTGCAAGATTTCATGTTTACGTGTGTACGTTATGTTTACTTCAGACCAGCTAACTAAGAAGCGCTGTTGGGTTGAAGTAAGCAGTGGAAGAGAAGAAGGGATAACTAGGACGGGGTCTGAAGGCTGAGTTTCGAACCATTTTATGAAACCAAGGTAGTGGTTCAGAAGAGATTCCCACCGAATCGAATAGTAAAAGATAGAGCACAGGATTCTGGTGCAGCAACGAATTGTTTTTCTCCTGCCCACTCATCCATGCACATTCGAAAAATAGCAGAGCTCCTCAACGATGACAAAAACGGTGGGGAAGGGGTGCGAGCATGGGACGGGTTCAGAAATTAAGATGCGTCACTCGTTGAACAGTTGTGTTCCAAATTGCTGTCGCGTTAAGGCAGTAGAGTGATATAAAAAAAACCGAATCGAAATATAATTAATCTTGACATTATTCGATCACAGTTGCAATCGCTTTGAGACAATGCAGCTGTCCTGGAGGCATTTAAAAAATGGTCATTCTCTGCAAATGGTTGTCGGTTTCTGTGCATTGACAGACTGTGAGCAGATTTACCTTTACAGGAGTTTACTCGAGAGGTTTCAAGGGCGAATTCCGTAAAAGCTAGGTATAAAGTTCGGAGAGAAGATCTGGAGCAGTTCACTGCTCATTTTATAAGAGTTAGAAGCCATGGAGTGATTTCAAAGCCAGTTGTACAAAAATAAACAGCCATAAATACAAAAGAAATCATGTCTGATCATGATCCGTCATTCAAATGTCATTAGAACCTTGACTCCAGCCTCCTTCCTTATCCTGACACCCATAAAGCTGCATCAACTGTAACTACAGCCAAATGGCACTGCGAAATCCACGACAAGAAAGGCTGTATCCAAGAAATGGACGAATGGAACACTTTTTATTCAGTGGAATTTGGACATTGGATTCTGAAGCATGGCTTTATAGTAGTTTAGTGTTAAAGCGAGTGCTTGAAAGGGCCCACTGACAATAAAATAAACCACTTCAGGCATCGCTAAGTGCGGCGTCGGGCAAGATCTTCCTTTTCCTCAATAAAAAGACGAATCTAGGGAGGGGACAACACATCAGACAGTCCACAATACAATAACTTCGGCAGTTACGACATAGTGTAATAATAAAATGAATAATGAACGGAACTCGCCTTAATGTCAGTTTCATAGTAAGTGAGGGCTTCCTTGTAGCACTCGACTACCATACGATAGTCGTGAGCATTACTGTAAATTTCAGCCTGACTGCAGAGGATTCTGCAAGAAATTTGAAATAAACTCAAACGTAAGAATGAGCAAATATGGCTACCACGCTTACTTGGAAATCTCCTTCTTCACCTGCAGATTCGTGACTGAATCATTCCGTACCAGCAATTTCATTTGCAGGTTCTTTGCACTGCAATGTATCATTGACTTTATCCATTTTTTTAAATTTGGGCTGGGTTTCTATCAAATATTGTTACCGAGACTTTAGCACTCGCCTGATCGTACTTACCCTACTAAGTCTATATTCGCGTCTAGTGAGCCAAACTACCTCTTAAGATTATAGGCACAGTTAATGATAGAAATAGTTTCTGATTTCTCCCCCTAGCAATACCTTGTAACCCCTAAGTTTAACAGGGAAAACGCTGTGGGGTCTAAAAACCCAACAGCTAGGGCATAGTGGGAGCATAACCACCGTATCGCCCGGATGCCACGCCCATCGACCGATGATGTGTCAGACGAGGGTCGAGGCGATACAGATTGTAGTGCTCGTGGCAGGACCCACACATTTAGCACACAAACGGCTGAGCACCTAATGATGAGGCGATATTTTTCTTCCTTTCTATCATTCTCTGTTGTTCTTTTTGCTGCTGCGATCCTTTATTTAATTTTCTATCTCAGGAGACTGAAAAGGGTCGGCTACGTTTGCTGTTACTAGCGTTTTTGTCAACTTACATATGCATATGAATGAATGGATTTTAAAAGACGTTTTTGTTTACTGTAATCAATTACTCGCACCAGGACCCAAGCATACTCAATGACACATATGTATAGCGACGTCCCAACACCCCTTTTTCTTTATTTTTCTGGTCTCCTTTTCGTCCAGCCCCCCCCCCCCCCCCCCCCCCNCCCCCCGTTGTTTTTAACGATTTTCCTGAGGCCTTGTATCACTTTGAAAACGCCGATTCACGCTTTGCCTCGTTCTCAATTTAGAAACAAGAAGGACTTGGTTTCTAAAGACAGAGCACGTACTTTCCCAAGTCGTGAAGAGCCTCTGTGTGCTTTCCTCCAGCAAACTGCACCTCGGCAAGGAGCTTCAAGTACTGAACATGTGCGGAGATTGTAGCCGGATCTGGAATAAAATCTGTAGAGTTCAGTTTAGGCAGTGGCACAAAGAAATAATCGGAAAGGTCTATTCGGAGTGATCTGACGACAACTCGGGCTCATACCAGGAAAACCAATTATGAGGCTTATTTGTGAAGCTAATAATTTACAAACGACCCTGGAGTTTTTTTGTGGGAGAATTTCCCTATCATTACTACACTATCCAATTTAACCAGAAATTACCGAAAGTCCTGTTGCATTCTTAGCCCTTACCATGTCTCACGGCCAGTCATTGTCCTGATTCAGGGTCCTATCATCTCATCCGAACCAGGTACCGCTGGCATAAGTCAACATGAGTGGCTTCCTTGGAAGAGCTAAGCTCCTCGAGCCGTGGAGATGCGCCTCCAATGCTGGTCCATCCAAACACAATTTACCCATCGTTTCTTGATCAGGGAAAAAGACTGCGATATGACCTGTTGGATTTGGCTCTTCATCAAGGGGCTGCCGTAGAATTCGCATGCATTTTTCGGTGTTGCCAAGTCGATGTAGGAGATCTGCTAGCTTCAGGCGCATCCGTTTATCCTTTGTTGCATTCATCACCGACTCGTAGAAGTTCACAGCCTGGAAATAAAGAAACAAAATCAACAAAACCCTTTGTAACTATAACTAATACATATGATATTCCAGGGCGAAGTGACGTAGCTGTTCACTTCCACATGCATGGTCACGGGTTCGAATCCGGGATCGATATCCGCCTGGGCGAACCAGGCCTTCATCCAGAGTCGGTTAATTGGTACCACACTCGTGGAGGATAAAAGCACTGACTTGTAAATCAGCTGACCACCATAACTCATTGAATAGGCCGCATACGCATTCAATACGTCACTACGATGCTGAATGGAAGTCGAAGCAAGGGCGCGCCCCTTAGACGGGACTGACCAACACCCCAAGACTTTATCCTTTATTCCTTCATGATTTCCTTAGTGAAATGGGAGAAAATCATTACCTTTGAGTAGAGATGACACAGGACATAGGCTTCACCAATCTTCTCCGTTAGAGCCATATCCTTACTTTGCATTTTCAACGCCATCTCATACACCTCGATAGCTCGATCGGGCTGCAATTAAACCGGCTACCGAAAAAGGAAAAGCAGATGCAAGCAGTTTATTAATTCAAGCAGTGCGCTATACAATTGATTCGAGCCCAGAAGTGTATCGAATGAAAAAATCGAAAGAAGAGAATTTAAGATGTACTTGCTAGGCGAGCTAGATAACTACTTTTGAGCTTCTCGGGAAGGTTTGAGTGACCAGATGAAAATCTTCAATTCTACACGATCTAAACGCTGATTTCATTCTGAACGTTATTTGAGTTCGCAACGATCCTAGAGCACCATTAAATAGCTCTCCCTGTCTATCCTCAGATATACTCTCCGATATTTGAACTGTGGATTTATAATAGAAATAGAATACCTCCTGGACGCTCATATAAGCGTCACCAAGCAAGGCATAGGTAGCTGCAGTTGGAGCGCTCTTCAGTAGTTCTCTGAAAACAAGCATCCCGTTTTTGCAAATCCAAAACTCCGTTTCATTCCCATTTGAAAACTTTCCCTAAATCACCCACTTGTAGCAAACAGTAAACATCATTTTGTCTCTTTTCTCTTCCAAATAGATTTCTGCCATTTTAATGCGAGCCGCATAGTAATTCGGCTGTCCTGGTTGGACCTAAATGACAATGATATTTGGCAAAAACAGATCTAATCAATAATAAAAATATTACCGTATTCAGAATTGCCAATGCCCCATCGACGTCACCTTTTGAAACAAGTACTTGGGCATTCATCAAAAGAAGTTGTTGCTCTTCTGGTTTACCTTTCCATTGTTCGAGAGCTTCCCTCATTACTCGTTCAGCTTCATGCTGGAATCGATAATTGATCGATAATTCAACGCCTATTTGCTGATAAAATGTAGGAAAAAGTTCAATTTATCAAAAGGTAGAGCTGAAAAGTCCGTCCATTGGTGATACCCACCGTTTGTTTCATCGTCTGAAGACAATCTATCAGTTCAAGCTGGATCGATATTCGCTGAGCATCCCCACCCTCTCGCCTCATCAAAAGATTCGTTGATCGCTCCTTTTGCGGTAGTTTCAAACCAGCTTTCAACAAATCAGCAGCTTTTTCCATTTCATTTCTTTGCTGAAAAATGGAATCCGTCAGTTTAGTTGCCTAAATGCCCAGACTTTTATCTCGACTTATACACAGTAAAAGGGGTGAGACATGAGTAAAAGAGAAGTGAGATAAGGTTGGATGAAAAGTGGTCTATACATAGGTCATGCCTATCGAGTCCAGAAATATATGGAAAATTTCTGCTAAAAATCTGGCCTCAAGGACTGAAAAGGGATATAGGCGGGCGAGTATGTTTCCATTATGGCCTTCATTTCAATTCCAGATACCCATGGATGCCTTTTAGAATCGACCCCTGTTCAGGTTAAATTCAACGCAATCGAGAGGGTCGGGGAATCTTCACTACATCGCTAACCCCCATCTCGAGACGCTGGCAAATAATCGCTTCGTATAGAAGTATTAGTTGATTGAGGTGGGATTTGTTCCCACGCAAATATCATACGAGTCGTACTGGTATTATTGACTTTGAAATCCCTGCTTTTTTCCAATCATATCTATTTCTACCGTGTTTGCTCTGCAAGATAATGGCGTTAGCACAAACACAATCAGAATTCTGCATTTTAATACGCATTGCTCTCCAAACCTAACCGTGGAATCGGATGGTTGCACCCAAAGAGTCGGTGGATATTAGGGCAGAGAAAAAGAGATGAAACTTTCTCAACTGATGCCAGGGTTTGAGCATCTCAGTATTCACGCTGCTTCTATTCGATAATGAACAAGTTACCTTATGCACTTTGGCCTTGATCAGATGAAACAGTGAACTGTCTCGTACGGAAAAATTGAAGCTGAGACCAGTGTTGAGGCAGCTGTCCGCATCAGTAACCTGCCCTTTCATCAGTTTGATCTGAAAACGAATTCTAGCAAAGAACATCAGGGTATGGCTTTTTCCGCTACTCTCTACAAATCGGCTATTTCAACTGATCGCTTTTCGACTTTCACAAAGCACCACATTAAATTGGCAGGGCCTTCTGATCAACTTCCCAGACCAAAGCTTAATGGAACGGAGCCCACTCTTGACAATGCCGATGACGTAAGCAGAAATTCGCTAAACGAACCTCGGCTCTGAGTAAATATGCATCCGCGATAGTCTCGTTTTTCTGTAGGCACTCCTCAATCATCCTATCCGCTGCATCCCATTCCGAATGAAGAAATAGACAACGCGCAAGAATGAAGTAAGCCTGGCTTATTCCTGAAAGTTGATAATAAAAAAAAAGTAATCGCGTATTGAAGGATAAACGTAACCAAACTTCATAGTGTTCGGAAAGGACTAAAGGTACCGAGAATTTTGAGAGGTAAAAGAAGACTACTCGGTTATATGCGCATGACATCTCAGGAAATTTCATTCCGAAACGGCTGACCAAATCGAGGCTCATCTTCAACCACCTGTTTCTGGCATTGAAGCATCGGATCGAGTGTTGCACAGAATTGCTTACCTCTAGAATAGGCTTTAAGGCCATATAATTGTCAGAAGTTCCGATGGGCATCGGCAGCGGAGGGACCGGATTTGAACTTATAAAAAATATTCGTGGAATGGGGATACAGTTCAGCCATTGTCAGCTGTCGTCTCGTTGATCATCGATTTCCTCGAGCGGGCGCCAGTAACGCCTAAATTCGTCCCTATCGCAAGTCTTGTAATTCAGTGAATCGTCCTCGCTCGAGGGCACAGAGGCTCGCAATTCTTTCGTCTAAAGTTTTCGTGAAGTAGGTTGACCATCGTGCTGACTGCCGTCACGGCGTTCGTTTGACGTTCCGAGAGTTCCAGTCCCTCACCATCCTGGTCCAAATGCCATTTAATATCGCGTAACGTGTTTTTCTCATCTGTTCAGCCCTTTAGAGGAAAGTGAGCAAGAAAAGGGAGCCGGATGTTATGTAAATACAAGTGAGTAGTGTCTGAATAGCGATTTCATGAAACTTTCAGAATAAAAGGATAAAGGATAAAGTTTTTGGCGTTAATCAATCCCGTCTGAGGGATGCGCCCCCGCACTCGACTTCCATTCAGAATCGTAGTGGCGTAATGAG